TCATCTAGGTTCACATGAATATGGTAACTAAACTTTGTATGTTTTGTTGGGGAATCAATTAATCTTTTGGAAGCTCTCATATATGGAATTTGTTTTACATCTTTTATTTAAGACCTATTCTTTCTTTCATCATTAGTTAGGTTTTTTCCTCTTTGCTGAATGCTTGCGTTTTTAACTCTTCGATGGCATGATTAATTGGTTTTGTCGATAGGCACGTAGGGGAAGTCTAGATCTGGGGAATCTCTCCCAATATTATATTGGTTGTCGTAAGCTCCTGCACTTGGTGAACTAATTATTAGAATGCTAGAATTGTATGAACTCGTAATTAGGGAGAAGCCTTCTTGAAAGGTACTTTAGAGAAGTGGCATTAACAATGATGATTTGAATGTTTGAATTCCTAAAATATATGAGAGTGGATAAGATGAAATTGACCCAACAACATATTCATACATATATTTCATTGAAAGTGTTATCTTTGCTTTTGCCATTGATCAAAACCTATGCATACATGTTTATTTTCGTCTTTTGCATATAAAATCCAAATATTTCTCCTTTAAGTCTTAGCTACAACAAACCAAACAACAACTAGGCCGTGAGTCCCTTTGGGAAGAACGATACTTGGTCTTACCAAGTTTATTACTTGAACGATTCGGTCATACTTGCCGATTGTAAAACAAGTTTGTTTGACATCATATTTTGGTGATCATAAATTTGTCCATCAAGTTTTTGGCGCTTGCCGGGGACTGTGGTTTAACTGGTTAATTTGTGTGATTCTTGATATCTTTGACTTAATTTTTGAATTCTATTTTTATTTTGTTTTTATTTTTTTATTTATTTTATTTTATTTTATTTTATTTTCTGTTTTTATTTTTCTGTTTATTTTATTTATTTTTCTGTTTTTATTTTATTTTATTTTATTTTTCTGTTTTTATGTTTCTTTTTTTATTTTCCTATCTTCTATTCTTTTCAATTATACCTTTGATTTTATTTTCTCTATCTTTTTGTGGCTAACATTGTTTTTAGGGTTTTGTGCCTAATGTCTGCAGAATGCAATTTGTCAAGAATTTAACTATATGGGCACTCAATTCTACAAAGTAATCTCAACCATTGGTGGAACCTCACTCAAGCATGGATCAAAGCCAATTTTTGGCAAGCTGCTGGACAATTTGAGAACCAACCACAACAACAATGGCAACAACAACCCTTTCTATCAGGAAGTTTGGATAGTTGGAGGACATCCTTCAACGTTTTTGAAAAAATTCCGACTCTACTCAGAAAAGATTGAGCATTGAAAGAACTCCGTTAACGGTTTGGCGGATCTTGCCATATCTTTTACGACTTCCGGTAATACCCCGTTAGCCCCAAGAACCCTCTCAGCCCCTTCAGAAGTTTTCGGTCTCTCCCACTCCTTTACTGCCGATACCTTTTCCGCATTCATTTCGACCCTTTTTGCGAAAATCACATGGCCCAAGTACCTTACTTTAGTCTGCCCAAACTCACACTTCCCCTTATTTGCCACCCAGCCATCACGCTCCAGGCGGACAACACCGTCTCCACATGCTTCAGATGCTCCCCCATGACTGGCTGTAAACTAAGATATCGTCAAAAAAGACGAGGACGAACCTTCTCAAAGAGTTGGAAGAGACTGTTCATCGAACTTTGGAAAGTCGCCGGCGCGTTAGTGAGTCCGAAGGGCATCACCAACAAATTCATAGTGCCCTTAGCGTCCGGAATGGTTTCTTTCTCTAATCCCCCTTGTCCATGCGAATTTGGTGATATCCCGCCTCAAATCTACCTTTGAAAAGTAACACGCTCCTTCAGCTCATCCAACAATTCTTCAATCACGGGAATCGGAAATTTTGTCGGTACGTGGCCCGATTGAGCGCCCTGTAGCGATGCAAAACCGCTAGCTCCCGTCCTTCTTCTTTACCAAAATGACTGGGCTCGAATACGGGTGTTGGCTCGGCCGATCACCCGTTCGAAGCATTTCCGCACTTGCCATTCGATCTCACCCTTCTGAATGCTGATACGATAAGGCCGGACGTTCACTGGGTCATTCCCTCCTGCAGCTTTATCTGGTGCACCCTCTCTCTTTTCAGGTGAAGACTATGGGCTCTGCGAACACCTTTGTGATACTGGCCCAATAATTTTTCCTATTCCTCCCTCTGTCTTTCAAAAAGGTCCCTTGCCATTCTGATTCACGTTCTAGGCGCTCCCGCAAGCCCAACTCCCAAATCAGAAGCAACTTCACGTCATCTACTTTTTTGATAAAGTTCTGGGTCCCACGATCTTTCTTTCTAATGTGGGGTCACCTTTAATGGTGATCTCCTCTTCTCACCTGTCGTAAGTTATGATTAAGGTTCCCCAGTCCACGTCCCTTCCCCCAATTCCTCAACCAGTCTATCCCCAGAATTAACTCTACCCTCCTAACTCGAACAATAAAACCGTTCAACGATATCTAGCTTCTCCGACCTTTACTGCCACCTGTTCAAAACACCCCCTAATCTTCTTCCGTTGCCATCCCCACAAGCACACAGATACGCTTGGGTATCCTCACCTTCAACCCAGCTCCTCCACTACTCTGCGACTAATGAAATTGTTGCTCGCGCCACTGTCGATCAGCACCAAGACCTCTCGCCGACCTATCCGCCCCCACAACTTCATCGTTTTGGGGACGACAATCCCCTGCGGACAAGCCGACAGTTCCATTTGAGCGATGTTCACTTCTGTTTCCGTCTCGCCGCTGTCTTCCTCCTCCTCACTACCACGATCAACCATGCGAAGTACCCGTTCGGGCACCAATGACCCGGACCAAACGGCCCGCCAGCGGAAACATTTTGCCCTCCTCTCTCCCTTTTCAAGTACTCCGATAAGGGTAGGGTTTTTTTCGTGGGCCTCGCTCTCTCTCCGTCACCGGTGGTTCTAGCAACGCTCCCTTCCTGGGCCGTTCTCCATCTTAACCAAACCCGACCTACCTCGATGGCTCCCCCTCGGTTTTTTGTTGTTTCGCTTTCTCTCCGGTGGGTCCACCCGCGCGACTGTTCCCGCCAGCCGCCCCACGAACTTAGATTTTGTAACCCGAGCCTCCTCCCCGTCTTCAACGGCGCACAAAACTTTTCAACGTCCCTCGCGACCCGCATCGCGGTCATAAGGTCTGGCGGATCAGCGGTCTCACCTGGTCGCTCACCTCTTCCCTGTAGACCCGCATAAATAACCCAGGATTTGCTCCTCTGGAATTTGAGTCGTTCTGACCCACTAACACCTCAAAATCCCTGGCGTAGTCTCCACCGGCCCCGTCTGTCTATGATCCGCCGAATAGCTTCTATAGCACGATTTCCCCGAGTTCCTCCCCCTCCGAAGCGAATTCCCAACGCCTCCGTTTTTCAACCCCTCCCACGAGTAGTTTCTAGTCTCTCCCGCCATAATCAGAACCAGCTTCCGGCGTACCCTTCATGCTGATAACGCCAGTTTCATCTCTCCTCTTTTCCACTTTCTGTCACCTCGAAATTTTCCACGACTCATCCAATTCCAGGGTTCGCCACCTTCAAACACGGGCAATTCCACCCGCTTCCGCCAATTGATCATCGCCCCAGTACGTCCTGCTCCGGTTTGGCCCCGTTCGTCTCCTGCTCCTCCGGCGTTATCATTTACAGACGATTCACTCCCATCCCGCGCACCCCTCTATTGTCGGTTTGCGGTCTTTCAAGATCGTCAAAATCGCTTGGATATCTTGGCGCATCATCTCACAGTTCTGCCTCAGCGTCCCAGTTTCATGTCGCAAGTACACCGTTTCCTCTTTCGTTTCTGCCAACGCCACCTCCACCGCTTCCATCTGTTCCGCAACCGTCACCACTCTTCCCTCCATCACGTTCGGCTATCAATGGATCCGGCAGGTCAGACCAATTTGATAGAGTCCTCCACAACGAACCTAATCAAGACTCCAAACTCACACCCAGCACACCAGGTAATGAAGAAAGATCTCTTTTATTCACAAAAGAATATCTATATACAATGAACAATAGAGGCCTAACCCTCTCCCCAGGATAGAACCTGTCTAACAAACAATTAACCAAAAGTCCCCCCTCCTACACTAACTCTCCTATTTATAATGGTTTCCCTCCTCACTTAACTGCTAAAGGCAGTTAAGTTCCAGACCGTTAGTTAGTTAATCGCATCAGTTGTGCCTCTTCCTTCTCTCGTACACTATCCACTTCCTCTTATTCCTTTCAGGTCTATCAGAGAGTCTAGTTCTCTCGAAAGACCAAGGCTAGTGTAACAGTTTGGATTAATGTGCTTGTTTCATTATTAATAAAGCTGTATGGTTTTTCTGGGTGAACATCCAAAAACCTGTCTTGGAAGTCTTTACAGTTTTAAATAAATCTGTAGATCTATCAGTTTCCTTCAAAATCAATTGACTTTTTCAGATCACGAATGTCAGTAGGAAATCCAACAAGCAAAAGAAATGAAAACATCATCACCTTTTCAAATGTATATACAAATTGCTTGCTGAGGAAAATGTATATAAGGTGTTCCGTTAGTCAGAAATTAGACATCATAATTTTTATTAAGCGTAACTGATCTCCAAAAGCGAGTTCATGAAGTAAGAATTGTCGAAACCTTTCTAAATTCTAATTCAGTCTCTTTTATAGTTGAAGTGGGATCTCAACAGTCAACCCTTCGTGATCAATACTAGAAATCTGGAATGTGGAGATTGTAGGACTGATTTTTCATACATCGCAAAGGCCAAGTAGCAGTCTTAGATAGATTTCATGGGGAGACCCGAAATCAATTTTACAATAGGGCCTAATTCAACTCCAAAAACTAGCTCACAAAGTGAGTGAGAATCAAGCTTTTACAAGCTTTACATTGCCCATGTGCATTCTCTCAAAAAATGTTTATGATGTGTAATAACACATTTATCAATCTTATTCCGAATTTATCTTGCAACAATGCTAAGTACAAGACCAACAATGCTAAGTACAAGAATCAAGCTATTACAAGCTTTACTTTGCCCATGTGCATTTTCTCAAAAAATGTTTATTTGTAATAACACATTTATCAATCTTATTCTGAATTTATCTTGCAACAATGCTAAGTACAAGACCAACAACTCCAGTCCTTACAAAAAAAAAATTAAGAAAAAAGGAAAGGAAAGACAGAAATTATAACTAGTAATACATCTTCATCTAACGCCCTCTTGAAGCAAAACAAATAGTGGTGAAATAAACAAACACTAGTCCAGATACTTATGACTTGTATGGAGCTATAACAAGGTAAAAGTATACTAGTATTTCCCCCAAGCCCACATGGATAATCATTAGCCTCTTTTGCGATTCTACCTCCCATCCAAACCCTAAGGAAAAAATAAACCAAGTCAAGATTATTGAACAGTAAAGGCATGAAAACCAACAGTCGATGATTTATCCAAGTCCTCAGTCTATAACACCCACCCCCTTCTGTTACAAAAAGGTTAACCCGTTCATACAAGGCCCATAATTTCCTATAACAAATGCCCCTCCTTAAGAAGCCGGCACTAGAGGCTTGGAAAATTCGGGACTCCCCCAATGGTAGGAGTAGGTTCCTCCAAGGTTCGAACTCGAAACATTGGATTCGTGCAAGGCTCTGATACCATTGTTACAAAAATGGTTAACCCGTTCATACAAGGCCCAGAATTTACTATAACACCTTCCTAATCCTAGCCACTCGACGTTCATTTTATCCAGCCGAAACTCTAAATAACAACTTAAGTAACAAAACAAATGTTCCAAGCAAAACCAAAAATCGTTTCAATTTTCAAATACCAACTTACAGCATAAACCTCTCGAACATTCGAGCATGCAAACTTTCAAAACAATCAACCATTTCCGGTAAACACGGAGTAATTCCCGAATATAAAATCTCCTTATGGTCTCCTTCTTAATCGGGCACATTCTAAATGCAGCAATGAACAAAGAATACAAGTCCAAAATCATACCACACCAGCAGGATCATCATGATTTCCATGAATGGTAAAAACCGGCAAGCCAACATTGAAGTGAGGATCCTCATAGTTCACGTGACCAAACCTGCGGAACAAATAACAATCACTCACTCTATCCTTAATAACCTTCACATACATTTAAGAACCACACACACGAGTTAGCGACGAGAGAGAGAGAGAGAGGGAGAGAGAGAGAGAGACAGAGAGACTCACGCGTTCTGGAAATTGAGCGTCTGGTCGCTGACGACTTGGAACGGGACGGGGCGGTCGTTGAGGCAGTAGCGGCGGAGAATCTCGATGGCCTTGACTAGCGTTGACCGCGACGGCTTGTTCTCGTGGAAGAGGTCGCCGCCAAGGAGAACGAAGTCCACGCCCTGGCGCTCGGCAATGGCGCAAATCTCCTCGAAGGCGTGGAAGGAGTCGTGGCGGCGCACCTCGTCCTTCTCCATGTACCCGAGGTGGCAATCGGTGGCCACCAGAATGCGCAGCATGTTCGCTGCGTCACCGCCCTCCATCAACGGTGAGGCAGTTTTGCTTGAGGGAAAATGAATTGCACTGAGTGTGTGGAGAAATTTGGGTGAAGGGAACCCAACGACGCCGTTCTGGAGTTTTTTTTTTCAGAATAGGCGGGACCTTTGTTTTTCCTTCTTCATTATTTTCTTTTCCAGTTTTCATAAATTTTGGGAAAATCTGAAAATAATCGAGAAAAAAATAATGGAGATAAATTACATCTTTTTCCCTTGCAATTTACGATTTTCGTCAAAGTAATCAGTGCGTGAAGAGAAATTAATAATTTTCAAGCAAATATCTAAAATTTTAATTACTTTTTTACTCATTAAACCTTATCATGTATTATAAGTTTAACCTTTAAACATGTTAATTAATGTCATTGTTTAAATTACACTTTTTTATTTTGAACTAACATAATTGACAATATTATACACTTCTACAATTAAAATAGTTTATTCCTTTCAGTATTTAGAGCTTATCTGAAATTTCTTGCAATATATGCATTTAAATTAAAAAAACACGTTAAAATACGAAAAGAAGACAAAGGCGTTAAGATATAAGAATCACGTATGAGATATAAAAACTATAATTGTTGTGTTAACATTGATGTAGAAAATATGAAAATCAAACATCTTATAGTAGGCGTTAAGAAAATGTATAGGTAGTAAGGTGTTATTAATTTTTATAAAATGAAAGAGAATTAAGATAGAGATACTAAAACTTTGCAATGTGTATTTGAAGAAAAAAAAGTTAAAGTTAATTTTGTTGAATTTATCATAATATAATTTATTCAAATTGGTATGATATGAGAACTTTTCTTTATCTTTTAAAAATAAAATAATTTTGTTGATTAATATAAAATATTTTTCATATCAATATTTTTCACTCATCGAAATAAATAGAGAAGGAATATTCTAGTTAATTTATTTATATTTTCTTCTTCTTTTTCCCTTTGTTTTTTCTCTTTTGAAAAGATATAATTTATCCCGTTTATTTCCTAGTTTGATTTGTTTGAATAATTACTTTTCACATGTACTTACAAAAGAAAAAATATATATAAACTAAAAAGAATGGTATACAAGCAAATTGGTAAAAAAATATTTAAATTAACTTTTGAAAAACTAATTTAATTAATACAATTTCAATTTTAAAAAAGAAAAAAAACGCTTATAAATGGAATGTTATAAGCATATAAAGTCACACTTTATTAAGGTCCAAATCAAATACATGTCTAATAGTAAGGTTTAAAAGTGCAAGACAAGTCATTTTGCAATTCATGATTTATGCACTTTTACACATGCGTAAAAGATTATACAAATGATATTTTTACACAATTTTTTACATGTGACTTTTTTAAATTGAATTTACAATAACTTTTTTAAGTGGTTGACTTGGATTTTTTCTTTGTTCATATTGAAATTCTAAATTGAACCAAATATAAAATATAAAAAATGACAAATTCAAATGACCTGATTACATTTGAACCAAATACGAAAAAATCTAGTATTTTACTCCATTGAAACAATATGTCTGTCTCAAAATTTCTTGCTCACATTATAACTTCATTGTTTTCTTGTGGGTTCCTTATGTCACCTGCATTTCGTCGTCGTCACTTTTGATCAATTGTTTGGGTGTGCCTTTGTTTCATTCCTTCCATTATTTTGTGCATCATTCCTTTGTTTGTGTTTGGTCTATGTGTCAATAAAGCACATTTTAGCAGTTTCAAGTAAGATACTTATAACCTCATGTCCTTTGTGATAAATAGTTTTAATTTTTTGTTATGGTTGTATTAAATTGAAGAAGTTTGATTATTATTTTTTGGGTGGTTTGAGATTGGAATATATTTGGTGATTTCACTATTATGATTATAACGGTTTATTTGTGAATGATACGTGATATGTTGATTTTCGGTTTGTGTACGTGACTTTGATGTATTGTAGTTGAACAAAGTTTCAAATAGGGTGAAGTGATGAGTAACTGTAGTTTAAGTGGTTTCATACTTTGAGTTTTTTATATAATAAACATGGTATAAGAAGTTGTTTCTCTTAATGATCTTTGATTGTGTCGTTGATTTCGAGTTGATTATTTTTTTACTGAATAGTATATGTAGAAGTCATGGATGGTAACAAAATAGATATAGAAATTAACGTAAATAATTATCTTTAATTTGAAAGGGCACATATATTTGACATAAATAATTTCTTATTGAACAAGTAGGTTCGACTTCATAATTGTTGTGATACAAAGTACATTGTTGAAATGAATGGTATCCTTAAGGATACACATCGTTTAAGGATTGGAGACACACCTTTCAAATGATGGAGAGGCCTTTAGAGATTTGTGGTCCTTTATTGAAGGAGATGCTTAGTCGTTGGGTATCCGTAAACTAATCGTTTTGTGTGATGTAGCACTTGGTGCCCTTAACATTTGTAGGCGTATGTATGTGTTTAGGGTTGAGTGTAAGTCGAGTTGAGGTAGAATTTGATCAAAATTTATATGGTGTTGTGGGTTCACTTTTCATTGGCAAAGCAATAACTATTAAAGATGTTATTAAAAGGATGAAATGCATTATAAGCATTGAGGAGCATAATGTAGGTTGTATATGTTGTTTGTATATATTGATTTATTTTGTTGTACTTTATTTTTCTGAAAATTCAAGAAATGTAAGTGATATCTCTTGTACAATATTAGACAATATTAATAGTTTGAGAAAGTATAATGGGTGACTATTGTCCATAGTTTTTTTATGGACAACTTAATTCATGCCTATTTGAAGTATAACACAAGGTTACTCCCATTAATTAACCAAACACGTAAGTTGTTTGCTTTAATTTTTTTTTACCATAGTAATGGGTCATTGAATATCTATATTTTCATTTGAAAGTTCTAATTATATATGTATTTGGTTATGCAAGTGTTGTAGATATGACTATGGGATCACTGTTCTAAAAATGATTGAGTTGTGAAATGATGTTCTAAAATGTAATGGGGAAAACATGTTTTAATACATCAATATAGGTAGGACAATGTTAAATATTTTCAAGCATTGTTAAATATTTTTATGTCGTTGTTTTATCTTTTCATAGTTTATTATGATCTCTTATGATTGAATATTATTTTTTTGTGCAAGAACATATTAGGAGAAATATGTATGTGATTGGATACTATATCAAGACAATATCCGCAGGGAATCAATGCTTCAAGACTTAATATATATATAATAAAATATGTTTTAATATATATATATATATATATATATATATATATATATTTTAAAATAAAAAATAAAGAAAATAATGACCAACCAATCCTAGCTTTTTTTTTCACATCTCTAACCTTATACATATTTGTTGAGATTGTTGATAGGGGAGCATTGGATTAGTTGAACCCACAATCTCAGTAATATCTGTGTTTTTGATGATGACAACACATAATTAATAACACATGAGTATTTTGTGTTACATGTTCTGTGATTACATGTTATATGTTTTTGCTTACTGTGATAAATCTGTATAAGCATATTTGTGAACATGATTGTGTTGTTCATTGCATATCATTGTGTTTAATATGTGATTCTATATGTGTATGCATGACATAAGTTGTTGGAAATGAAAAACCACAAGCACTTTGGTTGAACCTTAATGTGTGGCAAAACAACAGTAAGTCGATTACATTATGGGATGAATCGATTAAAACTCGAGTGTTTGCACAAATTTTTATCAAGTGTGCTATGAGTTATTTTGAAGAGAAAAATTTTCAAAATTGTGCTAAGTGATTTTACTTAATTGACTACATGCAATCTGTATTCGACTAAGTTCGTTGCTATTTTGAAAACTGATTGAATGCTTGACTCAATTGATTTAGCAGTCATATTTTCAAATATATTGACCAAACATTTATTGTGAGTCGACTGCATTAAATGTGCATTCAATGAATAAGCTTGACTGATGTTAGTTTGTTATAACTGCAAGATGTATTCGACTACATTAGTGACTAAGTCGATTAAATTGCGTTTGATGTATGCATTACTATAAATTGACGCTGATTTGAATTCTGTAAGAACTTTTGTGCATTTTAACATTTTCATATTGATCTTATAGAGAAAGAAAAGCTCCAAGAACCAAGATTGACCGTGGTGATCAAAGACTTGAGGTTTCTTGATAAGCAAGGCTTGCTGAGTTAAAACGTCTAATCAATCTGCACAACTAGGTGTATTCTGCGTGATCAGGATTTGCAATCTTTGAAGATTGACTTGGATTCCCTGTGGTGTTTGCAGGAAGAAGAATGATGTTATTGACTTTGAGGGTGCCTCAAAGGGATAGACAGCAAACGAGAGTGTTCTTGTTGTTGGTCTAGTTTGGTTATTGCCTATATTTAGATTAGAGGGTTAGAGAGATGTTTTACACTTTTGACGTGAGGTCTCTGTAAAAACCTTGTTGTAAAAACCTTGATCTTTATAGTGCATTTGATTCCTGTGGTTGGAAGGACACTGGATGTAGGTTTGGCCGAACCAGTATAAAAATTAGCATTTGAATTCTCTGATCCTTACACTCTTTTATTAAGTCGATTACGCTGTCATCATATTCGATTAGTTTACTGTTGCATTGTACATCTTTTAACTTGCGATTCAAGAAAAGTGTAAAAGCATCTTAATTACTGAAATAGTTTTTGAAAGCTTATATTTTTTCACTTCACCAATTCACCCCCTCTTGGTGTGAGAAACTAAGTCATTCTATTTTAACAATATTAAATATGTATTGTTAAATATCAACGTGTCTTATTGATTTGAGTATGTATCTACAAGTTTTCTTTTTATGTAAAAGATAAATTTTATGTTGTACAATCTAAATCTAAATTTGAATGTAGTATTTAAGATTTAACAATTTGGAAATTTTCCTTTTATATATAAAAAAACTTTTAAATTATGTAATTTAAAATATAATATTGATTTCTAAATTATTCAATCTTAAAGTCTAAATTATTTTTTAAATCACTGTTCTAGATTGTATAGATTAATATACTGTTTTTCTAAAATGTAAATTACATAATTTGGGAGATTTCAAGAATCTGAAAAAAAAAACTTTAAAGCAAAGGATAGAGTAAAGATTTTAATAATACTCATGGGAGTGCAAAAGAAAATCACAAGGCTGCAAAAAGAAA